GACGGTACATTTAAATGTACATATGAGATTAGGTAGACAAGCGCTGGCTATCTGAGGTCGTTTTGTTCGTTTCAACTTAAATTTATTTTAAAAATTTAATCATTCGATTTAGATTAAATAGTTATTAGAAATGTGTATAATCAAAAAAGTTTGGTAGGGTTGGCGCACGAAGCGCATAGGGGGCAAAGCCCCCTAGTTTATTTAAAATATACAGTTTAAGTTGCTTTTTTTCAATTTAAATACCGTATCTGGTCGCTACAAAATGATCATTTTTTATCACTAACCGTAGTGGACTGTCTTACTAGACTATATATTAATGTAAACACAAAAGTAACAAAAGACTTGCACTGCAAAAGCACATTAGTATACACCTATACTATCCACATGAGATGAGCCCAGACTTTGTGCTGTGAGAGCACGATCACTGGAGATATGGACATTTCTCACAGAGGACAATTCTCCTGGGAGAAACGTCCATAGCAACAGATCGTTTACTATGTTCGAATTTGTATTTATCAATTCGAATTATATTTAAGTGACAGCTTTGTTTTTATGTCACACTGAGCCACAACAACACGATAAAACACGTGATTTTTTCATAAGAGCACGTAAAAAAAGCAATAACGGAAAGTTTTTTCACGTTTGAAAATAATTTTTTGTAAATAATCACGAACTCGATAATAATTCACGTTTTAACTTATTTTCTGTAATAGAGAGCTGCTGACCTCAAATACGTAGTTATTTAAAGGTAAGAAATCACAAGTTTAATAATGAAGCGACAATTATAGAATAAAAAAAAATTGCAATTATAGAATAAAAAAAAATTAATTTTGCATTTGAGTAACACATCCATTTTTTTGCGTTTTATAGTTATAATTTTTGACCATTGTTTGATACAGTTTAACATTATTCATGTCCCTGTTGACCCGTGCAACAATGATGCACTCCGGCAGAATACAGCAAACGTGACGACCAGCGTAGGTTCTGCTTTTGCTCCAATCGAAATGCACCCGAATGCTATGCAGATTGCCGAAAGTTGTTACTTGACACAGGTAAAAAAATTGCAACCTTCTTTCGTCGGTGTAACTATGAAGTTCGCATAAAAATGTTTTCAAGTATTTTGTCATACATATGATATTTATTATTAAAAACAGCGTTTGTCCATTTGTTTTGTTTTTTAGTTTGACGTCAAATGTCAATATATGCAAAAAGAAAGAATTGTTTTTATACTACTTCTATTTCTTCGCCGTAACAATTAAAAAAATTATTTCATTATTAATAAAAAAAAAAAAAAAAAATTTCCCAATTTTGATGATCCCAAATTAAGGCTTATTTCGCTCTAACTCCATTATTTACAGAGATACGGCCGTTTTAAGTTTTGGCCAAT